ACCGGAAGGTTGGTGGTTCAAGCCCACCCAGGAGCGTAATTTTTTTTCTTACTTAATCAATTAAAAATGAATAAATTTATTTTTTTAAATCATAATTTGAATATAAAAAAAGAATAGTCTATTCTACGACGTTTACCAAACATAAACCCATGCATATGATGTAACGTTTGATTGTGTAGGTGATCCAACAACATGTCCACCTTGATCAACAATACATTTAAATCCACGATCATCTACAACATCACCATTTCTCCAATCAAAACGAAAACCATTTGTAAAAAATACAGGATCTAAATCATGCATACGATATGCTGACCATTCAAGTGTACTACTTGTTACTTGTTGAAAATGTGTAAAACCTGAAACTTCAAAATGAAATTCGCCAGCATCAAAATAAAAAGCACTATCAAAATAATCTTCAGTTCCTGTTGATATAATTAGACCTGGAAATTTTTGTTCATATTGTGGATAAGCATGATAACAACCTTCTAAGAAATTTAAATTTCCACTGCTAACAGCTAATGTATGTGAAAAAAGTAAACCATGACCAGTTGGTATATCAACAACACGTACCCATGCTAAAGGATCGTATGTTACACCTTCAATTTTCTGTAAAGTTAAACGAGCAGTTGATGGAAGTTGAAAGCCTTGAAATGATGTTGGTAAATTTTCTGTTCCACGAACAATTATCCAAATGGTTTTATCACCTGAAGCAGTTGATGGTAATTTACCAGTAACTCGAATTGATTTTTGAAATGGTACTCGACTATAAAATCAAGATGATTTCTTAAATAATAGATATATAAACTTACAAATTATTGTACCAACCACCAGATTTTGCTCCTTTACCAATCCATTTTGTTCCCCATGGCGCAGCTTTGTCATTGAATCCAGCTCCAGCTAACATATAAGTTATAAATTGAATTGACGGAACAGCTTCTCCATCGATATAATACGAAAAAGTAGATGTATCAATTTCTAAATAAAAAAATAAATTCCTGAAAAAAAAACAAGACAATAAAAAATAATTTACCTGGATCACCAGTTGTCCAAAAATGTGTAAGAACACCAAAAGTCGAACCAGGAGAAAGTGTATGACTGAAAATTTCAGTCTAAAAGAACATATATATAAATTTTTATTCTTAAACATAACACTTTCTTAAATTAATAATAACCTCAGTTTTATAAAGACGTTGACTGGATAGACCAGTACCAAATGTTAGTAATTCTTGAGCTTTTGTGGTTAGAATACATACAAATAATAAAATCCAGACGTGCATCTTTCTTTTTTTAGATAACTAATGACTGAAGATATATTATTTTAGTATCTCTTGTATTTATTTCTCACTTCTTTTTAAAAATGATAATCATTGTTTTCATAAGATAAATAAAATGATAACAAAAGAATTATATTTTTTTTTGATTTTCTATGTAAATTAGGAGTTTAAGAAATGTCTATGCATATCTTTTGATAAATAATAGAAAAATTAATTAGTAGATAAAACATAATTTCGCAATATGATTGTTTTTTATGTAAAAAAAACAGCTGACTTTGATGATACATTTCATTGCAATAAAGAGTCATGACAAGGTATCTTTCACTGATAAAATAATATTTGCCTTTTTATTTTTCGCGCTTCATTGATTGCGTCGAAATATTTGTCAGACATAATACTGATGTAAATGATGAAGCAAGGCAGTGAAAACAAAAGTCATATCGTGCATCGTTTTATTATTTCTACACGAAAGTCTCAACCAGAACATGAGAAAAGTCGATCGAAATCACCAGTTCCAAAATTTCAATATCAGATACCATCAAGTTTCTTTAGAGCAGTAGATAAAGCCCGATTAGAAGCTGGTTATGATATTCTACCACGTTTTCATAATCCATCATCATCATCATCATCGTCATCTCATCGTACAGCATCATTATCGTCACTAGCTCTCGATCGATCAAAAACGCACCATTTTACGAAACATAATGACTTTCATTCTTCGTCAATAGTAGATGTTGATAAAGCTTCTTCAAAACAAGTTCAATTTCATCATAAATTTCATAAACAATCTGATTCCGATCATCATCATCATCATCACCATCGCCATCGCCATCATCATCGACGTCGTCATCGTAAGACATCAGAACAAACTGCATCGAATAGCTCACTATTACAATTAACAAGATCTATCAGCTCTCACAGACAGTCGGCTATTCCTAGAGCTACATCTTCTACTCGATCGAAACATAGTTGATGTTTACAAAAAATTACTTTCTTAATACACAATCTATTGGTAAACAATACTTATAAGGACAAAACAATTTTTCTTCTTTGTTATAAATTTATACTGTTTCCAAATGAACTTCAATTTATAAATATTCTATCTATTTATCATAGAATACTATGACCTTTTCTATTGCAAAGAATCGTTACGAGAAAAAATAGTTATATATTTTATACTAGCTCTTTCAAATAGGAGTATATTTATTCCTTGAATACTTGTAGTTTTGAAATATAACTAAGTATCAATCATAATTTTAGATTCTCTATATAAACATTATGACGTTGATATATTTACCATCAAGATCATAAGATGTCCTCTTCGAATCAGCGTATAACCTAAAGATATCGGATATATCATATTCCTATAATGATAAACTACAAACAACCAGAATTCGATTTATAAAATCATACAATATTCTATTGAATATATTCCATATGATTTCTAAAAGATAATCAATTGTCAATATTGGATTTCCAAAAAACAAAATATTTATTACAAACTAGCGACATCTTTTTATACATCAAAACAAATAAAATATATCTTCAATGATAATCTTATAAAATAAGTTCTAATATTGATAAAAAATTTCAAAAAAATATGCAATTGAAAAATGTCTTGACTTCTCATCTCATGTATTGGAATTCCAATCATTCCTCCATCCATGAAATACATATGTTTTTTATTTATATTTATTCCATTATAATTGTTCTTCGTACATAACAGGATCAGCTCAGCTAAATTTTTATACAAAAAAATTAAAATTATCGCGATATGTCTCGCGATGTTCATCGTAGTTCGATGAAAAAATTAAATCGTTCAAATAGTGATGATGATATACATCTCCGTCCAATGGCCACATTAATTCATTCAAAACCAACATCTCATGGTGCTGGTGAAACAAGTTTCGGTGCTCGAGATGATGGTTCCTCGATGTCATCATCAAATGAATATGTGGCACCATCACCCTATCAAAATACTTCATCAGCTATAGCAGTAAGCTTCTTCTTCTTGTTTTTTCTTCTTAATAATAATTATTATCATCATCCCACCTACTGTTTATTCTTCTATATCCAGATATTTGATATATCATCTTTAAGTTTTGTATGAATACATTTGTTTCTTTTGCAAATTTATATTTTCTAATTATTTAAATCAATATTTCCTAATTGTTTTCTTTTTTCTCGAAGGGTGCTACAAGAGGATATATGACTGATCGTTATCATGTTACAGCCATACCAGAACAACAACCAACTGTTGTACATACATATGAATTATCATTACCGATTAAATTACTTCCGGGAGAAGATGATGTTAAATTAAAAGAAGGTATATATTAACAAATTGTGTATTTGACAGGAAAAAAATAAAAAACATTCAATTATAGATATAACTTATCGAATACATAATCGATCGATACCATATCGAGGTGATTTAATTGTAACTAAATATCGTTTAATGTTTGTAACAAAACCACCTGATCCAATTCAAGTACGTAAAAATACATTTTCTTTCTTTTATACTCTTTCTCGTAGAGAAGAGTCCAGTAAACATAAATTGTCTATCCGCAGAGTAAAAAAAACACCGAAAATTGATTATTCGATGCGAGGAGTTCGAATCTGAAGTCTGTTGGGTGGTTATGATGAGGGGGTGCGTAACGAGGAGGCAAACATCGAAAACCTATTTTTCACGGTTTTCGATTGTTTTTTCAGTAAATATAGGGATGATGCATTTCTACGAGAAAGAGCTAAGCGAGTCCTCGGACGAACGTTTCTTGTATTAATAATGAATATAAATGATGTTTTTTTTTAAAGGTACTTGTTGATGTACCATTAGGAATGATTAGTCAGATAGAAAAAATTGGTGGACAAACAAGAAGTAATATGAGTGATGGTGCTGCATATGGAATTGAAATAAATTGCAAAGTAAAGAGAAAAAATTTATTTATTATTTTGAATCAAAACGAGAATATTTCTTTTTAGGATCTAAGACATTTCTTTTTTGGAAATGGAAAAGAACAAAATCAACGACGAAATTTACTTGATCATTTAACTCGTCTTGTTTTTCCCTTTTCAATCAGTAAAGCAGATATTACCAATCCATTACAATTTTTTGGTGTAAGAATTTTGAAGAAATCGAATTAAATTTAGATTAATTTTTTTATCTTTAGTCTTTTTTTGCTTTGGATTATAAGAAAAAAATGTGTCCAAATGTAATTGATGAAGGATGGACATTGTACAATAAAATGAAAGATTATACGAGAATGGTATGTTCTATTTCAATAATAAAACAAATAATCGATTATACTCTTCTTTTAATTCTATTCTCTTAGCTTAAAGTCAGTAAGAATACGTGTATTTTTTGCTTCTATGACTTTAAACTAATTTCTTTTCAATATATAACATATTTTATTTTATACTATAATTGTTTTTTTCTGTTTTGTTTAGGGTATTCAACAAAATTCAGATCCACATTGGACAATCAATGCTGAAATAAATAAAAATTATGCATTATGCGATACATATCCAGATATTCTTGTTCTTCCGTCAAGTTTTGATACGACAAGATTACAACGTGTTGCTGATTTTCGTAGTCGAAATCGTATTCCAGTATGTATAAAATAAAAGATGTCTATGTAAATATATACGTATTTAATATAATATAGGTATTAAGTTGGTATTCTCGGGAAACTTATGCAACTATAACACGATCAAGTCAACCATTAACTGGTTTAGCTAATCGAACATGTGATGATGATATTGAATTATTACGTAAAATAGCTGATGCAAATGTAAATCAAGGTTTTAAATTAATTATTCTTGATGCACGTCCAAAAGTGAATGCTATGGCGAATATGGCAAATGGTGGTGGTTATGAAGATTATCCAAATTGTGAATTAGAATTTCATAATATACAAAATATTCATGTTATGAGAGAAAGGTAAAGAAGGAAAGGAAGAAAAACAAAACTTATGTAATTCTTTATTTAGTTTACGAAAGTTACATGCTGCTATACGCAATGCAGCGCACGATGATAAAACATGGTTTAGTGATTTAGAGAATTCAAATTGGTTATTTCATATTCGAGTAAGAGTCACAAAAAGATATTAACTTCTGAAATTTTATGTTTTTTTTATTTTAATAGGCAGTTTTAACTGCTGCAATTCGATTAGTATCATTAGTTCATAATGAAAAACGTTCAGTCTTAGTTCATTGCTCAGATGGATGGGATCGAACTGCACAAGTAAAAGAAAATAAATGAAATATTTCTTTGTAATTTTAATGATTTATTTCTAGCTTACATCATTAGCAATGCTGATGCTTGATGCACATTATAGAACATTGAATGGTTATATGATATTAATAGAAAAAGAATGGATTAGTTTTGGTCATAAATTTTTTATGGTATGAAAATTAGAAAAAAAACAAATTTAAGATTTTATTTCTATGAAATTCTATATTTAGCGTATTGGTCACGGAGATAAAAGTGATTCAGAAAGATCACCAGTATTTCTTCAATTTCTCGATTGTACATTTCAGTTATTACAACAGGTAAATTTTTGATATTAACTTTGAAATCTCGAAGAAAATTTTATTTCGCAATAATTTCGTAATTTCCTATGACGCATGTCTACTGTTGTAGGGTAAAAAAAAGAAAAATTTCGGAGAGACACTGCGATTTCCAATCTTTCTGTAATTATAAAGTGGTTACAAGATGAGTATTTGTTCTAATCAAGATTTTCAAAGGCTGATCCCTGCTCTGTACTTGTATAAAATGAGGGTCGGTACTATTTCCATCCTTCAGTCTAATCCTATCGAGGATCTACAAAATGACATCGTACAAATTTGCTTGCTACCATTTGAGTGGATCCTATTTCCAAAATTCGCGACAATAAATATATAGTTTCATTATAAAACCTTATTGTATATTTCTAGTTTCCATCGGCATTTGAATTCAATGAAAAATTATTAGTAACAATAGCTGATAATCTTTATTCATGTCAATATGGTACATTTTTACTTAATTCTGATAAATTACGTACTGACATGAAAGTATCCGAACATACAATGTCAACATGGACACCTATATTACGTGATCGTCGATTATATTTAAATCCATCATATACTGAAAAATCCGATAAAGTTTTATTATTAAATAATTCATCACGTCATATAAAATTATGGAAAAATTATTATTGTCGTTATATGCCTGGTTATCGTTCAACTTTAGTAAGAAATTTTTCTTTATCAAATAAAATATATTCTTCTTTTCTAGGATGATTTAACACAACGTTATACAACATTACTTAATTTACGTAAAAAATTTACAGATGAAATAAATCATATTCGACAAGATGGTGAATATCAACAACAACAACAACAGCAACAACCACGTTTATTGTCTGGTACACTTTATCAAACTCCAATATCAACAACAACATCATCATCTACACAATCAAAATCAAATGTTGTTCAAGCAACAGCAACATTCATGACATAATAATTTTTTCAATTTTTTTTTTTGTATATAATTTTTAAGCAGTGTCTTCTAGAAAAAAAATCAAATTATGCAATATTTTTTTTTTGTGTCTGTTTGTTTGTTTAACGTTTAACGATAATCTCTTGTATGAATAATCTTCTCATTTTTTTTTTTTGCAGATCAAATTTTTTCTATTTTCAATAAGAAAAAACCAATCAAATGGCCTTAAGCAACGATGAACTTGCTTGTGTCTATGCAGCACTTATTTTGGCTGATGATAATGTTGATATCAAAGGTGATAAAATTGCAGCTATCTTAAAAGCAGCAAACTATGAAATTGAACCATATTGGCCTGGTCTCTTTGCTGGTGCATTAGAAGGTGTTAAAGTAACAGATCTTATTAAAAATATTGGTTCAGCTCCAGCTGCCGGTGCTGCTGCTGCTCCAGCAGCCGCTGCCGCTGACAAGAAAGGACCTGCTGCTAAAGAAGCACC